GGGAAGACCAACTCCAAGAAGGAGGACAAGCGAGATGCGGCCACCAACGCCTTGATCGCAAGCGTGGACGGCATGATGAATAAGAAGGACTCAAGTGAGGAGGAGCGCCGGCGTTTCAAGGCGGATCAAATGGATGCTTTCATGAAGATCCAAAGAAGGAGGCTTGATCTTGACGCCGAGAAGCAAGCCAAGATGTTCGAGCTCGAGGCAGAGAAGCAAGCCAAGATGCTAGAGATCGAGGCCGCCAACGCCAAGACAAAGGCGAAAGAAGTGGCTCTTGCGAGCATGATGACCGGGGTGGAGATCATAAAGGTGGATCTCAACACCGTGTCGCCAAGGAAGAGGCCGTGGTTCGAGAAGATGCAGGCCGACATGCTCAAATTCGACGACGAGTGATCTATGGCGACTAGGGCCATCTTTTTTGTATGCCGGCATGACCACGGGAGCCGCGATGGCGTTTTCGAACTTAAGTCCCACCCTTTTTGTGTGCTGGCATGTGTGCCGGCCGGCTGGCGAGTGCGCCAACATGAACTATGGTATTTTATGAAGTCGGCATTGTATGCCGGCGCTGACATGGTGCTGGCATGAACGGCCGTGGACCATTTTTATTTAAAAGTTAAATGCGGACATGAAATGGGTCGACCCGTTGGGCGCACTGCCGACTCAAATGCAAAACTGGACGGACGGGCGGGCGGCCCACCCAAACGGACAAATGCGCCGTCCATTTGGGTTGGCCCGTTGAAGTTGCTCTAACTTACAAAAAGTTTGTATAAAGTATAACTATTTATGTAATACAAAGGTTCTTTAAGCATTCACTAGGGCATCCACAAGCATTCATAATTTAGGCGCTAAGGTAGATACAGTGGTTTTTTATCTCTCTATGCACATTGGAGTAATAAGCTTCTTTCACCGTATTATTAGCAACACTTATATAATCCTATCTACGTGGAATTTTACCTAAAAATTGATATAAATTGTACAGTTAGAAGTTTTTTTGTTCAGTTCGATATTGAGGCTAATTAAGCTTACAACCCGTCGCTAAGCATTTTGACATTTCTCTATCCCCATCTCAAATTATCAATTAGCACTTGTGCTACACAACTCCTCTTAAATTAAGGAGTAGAGTAACGCATTTGTTAAATGTTTTAGTATTTTCCATTTTGAAGAACCGAAGTCTTCTAGTATTGATGAGGGTCAGATATATAGGTAGTAGGCAGCTACATTTAACACTTGAAAGTTGAAAGGTAGGTTTGCT